AGGGGAGGAGGGCAGCGGCGAGTAGCTGGAGGGAGAAGCGAGGGGTAGAGAGGGAAGCCCCCGTTCCATCCTGGGACTATGCGAAAATTAGGAATAAAGTTGTAACACTGCTATTTCGAGCGGGCAGACTGGCGAAAGACCCATCATTTCCCCTCTGGATCTGCCTATGTACTTGTTGGTAGAAAAAAGTCAGTGTGTATGTGTATCTGAGCTGTGTGATCGATGAAGAGCAATTGTCTTCTGCATCGGTTGCGATGAGCTCGGGTCTGTTGCAGATTTGCACATTTGGCTGGCATTCACGACCTGTCATACATGAGTATGATTTCGGATGTGGTTGCGATCATTGGTACCATGGATGTTGTATTTGGTGAAGTGGATCGCTGAAGATCTATGATTTTGTTGGATTTTCTTCTTGTTGAGATGTTTGCACGTGCTCTGTACCTCTCCGGAAGCGTTTTCTCGTGCATTTGCTGCATCAGCCTGCTATCCGGATCTGCGACATTCTCGGTCATGAGTAACGACGGATCATTTTTTTTGATCACGTCAGTATGGCGCTAACAATGAGGTACTGTTGTAAATAGAATAAAAGGTGATGATGGCCCTGTGTTCAATAGCATATATAGTGTTAGAGTTTACGTAGAGTTTTACGATTTGGCTTCAGTTTTTGTTGTTTTGAGAAATTTTTGTTCCAGGATTTTAAAAATTTTTGCAAATATCGGTGCAAAAAGCGTCAGTGGATGAATTATTTTTTCAGTTATCGGTCATCCATTCTTGATAGTAAACTTTTCAATCGGTCAACGCCTACAGTTTTGTTGCCGGCGTTATGCATCCACTGATAGATAGGCAATCTGTATTTTTTTAGGATGCAAATGTTAAGAAACCTATTACTGTACCATAATACATTTTTGGATGTTTTGCTGCAGCCGCACTAATAAATGTTAAGTTGTTGTTGTGCAATGTGTTCGCTCCATGGATGAGTTTTTACCTCGTTTTTACCTCATTTGCAATTCTTTTTTGCCACAGTGAGGGGCGCCTTCCTTTTTCCCCTCATTGTTTCAGCTGGTTGACGAAACCATATGTGCGAAAAAACGAAAATTTAGACCGATGGTGACTATTATAGACGAATGGGGAGGGGTGCAGAAGGTGGTTGCGGGTACAAAAGCTTGCTAGAAAAACGCAGGTT